GATCACTTAATAGTTAGCCATCAACGCCGCCCATGGACATCTACTTATTTGTTTGTTTGTTCTAAAATTATCTTAGATTAGTATAAGCAGCTCATTAGGTTAAATCGTTAACTCTGATGAAGAAGTTACAGTTTACGTCATACCCTGGTTCACTTGCACTATAATAGGAGCATCATCAACAACAACAACCGGTGATATTCCGCTGCTGGATAACCGTTTTCAAATAATAGGAGTTTGTCAAAATCTAGTATCTACACGGCTTGTTTGACGGGTTGGAGACAGCAGTTTAAAAGATTCAAATTTAATAATATATCACAGAATACTATTGCCCGATCTATGTCAAAAATGTGTAGTCCTTAGTTCCTTTTTTGAGGCGGGAAAATCATCCAATATCTTTTCCTGCCTTTTTTTATTTTATTTTTTAAGGGGGGAAAATCATCGAATGACTTCTCCCGCCTGGGTGAGGCGGGAGCGAGTGTCAGACTCTTACTGACTAAAAACCACCCCGTTCCTTCTCCTGCACGTCGAGCCGGAGCCCCGGTTACCCGTTAGGTTCTCCGCGACATCTTTTCCTGCCTTGGGTCAAGCGAGAGGGAGTGTCAGACTCTTATTGACCACAAACCACCCTGTTTCTACTCCTGCTCTTCGAGCCGGAGCTCTGGCCGCCGATAGACCTTCCGCGGCTCCGTAGTCCTTAGTCTTTTAAGTGGCTCTTACGAGTCTTAGGATACCCGCGGAAAGAGCAATGCTGGTGACAAATGTGCTCTGACGACACCACACGGCAATAAATGAACATACTTACTTAACATTTACAAATTACTCCTCTACCCAAAAAACCCAAACCTGGGAGTTTCTCCGACTATCGCCCCATTTCTATCTTACCATTCCTATCAAAAGTCCTTGAACGCCTCATCCACAAGCAACTTAGTGTTTTCCTCAACAAATACAATCTTCTCAATCCTTTCCAGTCCGGGTTTCGTCCGGGACATAGTACCACTACAGCATTGGTCAACATTACGGATGACATTAGATCTGGCATTGAGAACGGTAATCTTACTCTTCTGGCGTTGCTGGATTTCAGCAATGCCTTTAACACCGTTGACGTCGATATACTGCTGGGAGTACTGAACTCTCTTAACATGTCTCCGGCTGTGACTGATTGGTTTCGTAGTTACCTGTGTGGCCGCCGGCAGCGAATCCATATTGAAGACTCCTTTTCTTCTTGGTCTACTACGACTGCTGGCGTACCGCAGGGGGGCGTTCTCTCTCCTTTACTCTTCGCAATTTTCATAAATTCTATCTCCAACGACCTTCTATCATCCTACCACTTGTATGCTGACGATTTGCAAATTTATTCACAGGCACCTCCTCACGAATTCTCCGAAGCAGTTAAAATGATCAACACAGATTTGGCGCGAATTTCGGAATGGAGTAAGGTTCATGGGCTACGGGTTAACCCTTCGAAGACCCAGCTCATTGTTGTGGGTAGCTCTCGACTGAGCTCAAGAATAATTTGGTCGCAGGTCCCACCGGTTGTATTCGATGGCACTACGTTAACGTATAGCGACTCAGTGAAGGATTTGGGTGTTATTATAGACCGGGACTTTACTTGGGGACCCCAGCTGGGGGAGGTCAGTCGGAAGATGTTTGCTTCGGTGAAATCGTTACGTAGACTACGGAACTTTTTCCCACTGCTACCAAAATTGCGCTCGCTCAATCACTTCTTCTGCCCATCCTTGACTATGCCGATGCCAGCTATCTAGACATTACTGAAGTACAGCTAAATAAGCTTGAGCGGCTCCAAAACTTCGGTATTAGGTTCATATTTGGTTTACGCAAATATGACCATATTTCCGAATATCGCAACAAACTCAAGTGGCTTCCAATCCGCCTTCGCCGGAATATGCATGTCTTGTCCTTACTCTACAGTATACTGTATAATCCTGTAACCCCTAAATATCTTAAAGAACGTTTCAAGTTCCACCATGACACACATTCAAGATCCCTGAGAGCGTCGGAGAGGTTGAGGCTTGGGATGACTCAGCATTCTACTAAGGCATATGATAAATCTTTTACGATCCAAGCTGTTCGCCTGTGGAATGCACTCCCAGTGTCGGTGAGACAAGCACAGTCACTTGCCTCCTTTAAAGCTAAAGTTAAAGATTATTATTTGTCTACGTCATGAATCGTATTAGCTCCTTTATATACTTATTTAGATTGTATATATATATGGTTATGTATATGTATTTATTTATATATATATATATATATTTGGTATGCATGTATGTGTATATAATTTAGTATATATATATATATGTTTGTTTATTTATTTTGCTAGTGGTTAATATTTATGTATGCCTGGACTACCCTATTGAATTAACCATCGTTCCATACACCCAAAGGTTGCCTGGTAGATATCGCTTTTAGCGATAAGGCCGCCCTTGTACCCTCCTTATTCTTTATAATATCCGAATATGTGTAATTACTTACTTGGTGTACAATAAAGCTTATTTATTATTATTATTATTATGTATGTCTTTACCATTCACGGGACCACAGGGTCCCGGTCATTTGGGAGGCGTACGAGGGGCCGAAGCCAACTGCGCAGAGGCCCTTTAGACAACTATAATATAAATGTAATGGACACACAAACCGGCGACTATCCCTGTATGCACTATGGAAATGCACCCAAGGGCAGTCCCCGGTTAGTGTAGGACTATTGTGAATAATGGAAAAAAAAAGGTAGGGCTATGGATGGGTTGCTGTGGACTGGTAAATTGGGAACTATGGATGACTATGACACCTGCCGAAACAATGTAATTTTTACACGTAAAAATGGCAGGCGGAGACTCGCCAACTCACCGACCGGGCCCCGGAAATGGTTGCTAGATATAGCAACAGAGGGGCAACGAGAATGTGAGTGGCTGAAGGGTTAAGAAACTACCACCGCTTTCTACTCAGATCATCTGCTCCAGCCGAAGCCTCCTGCATCCCTGGCCCACTCGCGACTTACGAATAGTTTCTTACCCTCCGAGCAGGTTCACTGCTCTCGCGACTCCACTCTGGACGGCCAATGAAGGCAAGCCAGAGGTGGGAGACCTGTTCCTTGTCATCTTTCACTCCAGCCAGCCAATTAAGGCAAGCCGGAGAAGAAGGAACGGTGACCTCTCCCTGGAGCACTCGGGATGATGGTAGCCCGCGGGATCGCTAATGCCCGTCACCTCGCCTCAAGGTGCCCTGCGGGCTTATTATTATTATTATTTACATACAACATTATAATGAGCCCAAGGCGTAACAAGGGCATTACGTCCCGCCTCGGGTACAAATTGGTCAGGTCTCTTTACACAGGTCATTGACCGATCACAAGGATTGCCCTTGAGGCTCATTCTAATTTTAGAATGTGACTATGCATTTATTTGTATTTTCTCGAGAAGGAATATTAAGTCATCTTTTTCCTTTTTCTCAATTTGCTTGGTGAAATTAAGTTGGAAAAAGTGTGTAGGTAATATTTTTTGTGTTTTTTTTTTAATACGTTGCTCCACATAAGGATGTTCACCTGTGTCGTGGGTGCGTTTATAAACATACAAGTTCACATACATAATGACACTAATACCCGAAACAACAATTTGTGGATCACACAAAGTGTTGTTCCTTGCGGGAATCGAACCCGCGACCGCACCAACTGTACAGTCATATATACCTAGAAGGTACTTACTACTTAGGTACTAAATGTTGTCTAGAAACTAACAGCCTATTCTATTTTCTAGGACAAGTCCATAAAGATCAATAAACACAAAAAACAGACATTCTAGTTATAGTATGTTTCTATGCGTTGTCTCAACTAGAGACCAACCACTGAGAGATCTAATTCTCTTTATCTCTTCTCTATTCTCTATATCGTGAACGATCATTTACTATGACGTCATACTTAACTATTGTTAACATAAATATTAATACAGGTATTATCTTCTTAGGTAGGCAGTCGAGGAAACTGCTATCCGCTTGTATCTATCTATATGTTTTCTTTTAGTTAAAGCAAGGTAGACTAAGAACTGTTTGCAAGTATAGAGCGCGCGTATCACGTAAATCTAAGTAACCATTAATTTTACGGAGCCCTGGAATACATAACGGGTTACTGGGGCTCCGGCTCGAAGTGCAGACTGCAGGAGTAGGAACAGGGTGGTTTTAGTCAGTATGAGTCTGAGACTCCCTCTCGCCCTGACCCCGACAGGAGAAGTCATTGGATGATTTATCCCCTCAAAAAAAAGTAAGCATTAATTTAGAAGACCGAACACTTTGTTAGTGTTTCATGGGTTTCTTCATTCACCTTCAAACCTACATCCAGTGCATCAGTTTCTGTATTAAATTAATTATTATCTACTTAAAAAAACCTAATCAGAAGTCATTAATAAACCGTTTCATACACATCATACATCTACACAGAGCATCGTCTGCCAGCGGCTTCATGTCGGTCCCGTGGTATAAAAGCCTATCTGTTATTCCAAATCATAACAAACTCCTGTTCCAAATTTCATCTCAATCCCTTCAGCCGTTTTGGTGTGACATGGAAACAAACATACACACAAACACACATTCATAAACTTTCGCATTTATAACAAAAGAAGTAAGACTGCCTCATTGGCCGAGTGGTCGCAAGTGCGACTGTCGGGCAAAGTATTACTGGGTTTTTTAAAAAAATACTCAGTAGTAGCACGAAGTCTGGAATTGTGCCCGGTATATGGCAATAGGGACACCGCCTATTACATGGGACTCATAACATAAATAGTGAAAAGTGGGTGTTACATTTAACAGTGGCATTAAATGCCGTAATATGCAGGTGCATATTACGGCATTTAATTTATCCCCGTAGGCATAGGGATGACTACGGGGATAAAAGGCATGATGTTATGTTATGTTATGTTAAGAAGTAAGATAGATAGAAAGGAAGAAAGAGTATAAATGTTATAATATTTGTCTATCTGTTTCCAGTTTCTTTAACGATGGGTAGAGTAAAGATAACAGACGCCCAGCGGTTCATGTCAGACTGCCTGAAGGCTGTCGGCACTACGAGCAAGGCAGCTGACCTGCAGGCCGCGTTGCTGATCCAGGCTGATACGTTTGGACACCCTAGTCATGGACTGAATCGATTAGGTAGGTACATGATCGTCAAGAGTACATTTATTTTTGTACTAACTTTTACCCGCGGCTTCGCTCGCGTCACAAAAGGATAAAAAGTGGCCTATGTGACATATAGGTACCAATACACACAGCGCCATCTATACCAATACTTTTGTTTTCCCTCGGGAATATCAAATTTTTCCGGGATAAAAAGTACCCTAGTCCCTATTATTAAATCCGGACTTCTAACTTTACCTCTGCAAAATTTCAAAGCAATCGGTTCAGTAGTTACGTTGTGAAGGCGGAACAAACAAACTCACTTTCCGATTTATAATATAATATAATATATAAGTAAGGAAGTAAGGATAGACTAAATATTTCGTCACTCGTACTCGGTACTGAAATACTGAAATAATCTTTCCAAACACGAACTCAAAACAATTTGCTAGTGGTAAAAAATATGATCGGAACCAATATTGTACGTACCTATGTATGTACCTGATCAATGTTTCGCTAATCGTAGTCTGGCATTGTAGTTTCGTAAACATTCTCATCTCCGCATGAACAAGAGAAATGTAACAATTACCTATAAGTAACCATTATTATATTACCCATGAAGAGCAATTTGTACATGGCAGTCTTTATTTTTCAGAAATGTATATCAACGATATTTTAAGTGGTGCCTGCAAACCCAATAACCAGCCAAAGATTCTGAAGGAATCCCAGTCGACAGCGTGGGTCGATGCCAACAACGTGCTTGGTGCTACCGCCAGCCAGTTCGCAATGGATATAGCTATCAAAAAGGCTCAGGAGACTGGCGTAGGATGGGTGTCAGTAAAAGGTACCAATCTTGTAATTCATATAACCTTTCGTGTGTCTAAGAAGTGGATCCCCGCGAGACACAATGTATTTTCTATTGTGTCTCATATCGGTGCATTCAAAAGGTTAATTCAATTTCGATTAATGTATAGCATTTAGGCAGAAAGTGAAAAAACAATAGAGCACCACATACTTTGAACCTTAAATGTTTTTTTCAATAGATCTTCTTAATTTGTTCGTGGATTTGACTAGAAAAAACCTACGGAGCTAGTTTCTACCGTTTCATCAACTGGCGTAAATGGGTACCTATAAATCTAATACTTAGCAGTTAGGGATCAAAATATCATCTGATCGGCCAAAGGACATTGTTGAACGTAACCTTCCTCAAATGAGGCCAGAAATACTGACATGCTGAAAGCGACTACGACCCGGTATCAGTAATCAGCCGCTAGCAGCAACATATATATATATATATAGCAGCGCATGTGATTAATGGATTGATCAAATAATTCCAGGCTCCAATCACAATGGAATGGCTGGTTTCTGGTCTCAAATGGCAGCAGATAAAGGTCTCATTGGAATGGCTTTCACCAACACCTCACCCTTGCTAGCGCCGGCTAGAAGTAAACAGGTGAGTCCTATTACTTTTACATAAGAAACCCAAAGGAAAAGTCAGTGGTACACACATTTTAAAAACAGTCTTCCTCGTAGCAGCCTACTTGACCCCTCGGTATTCAATCAACTACGTATTCCAAACCATTACCTAACTTTTACTTTATATTAATTTCCAGGCAGCTTTAGGAACCAATCCTGTGTCAGTAGTTGCACCTGCCTCGAAGGGTGAATCCTTCTACCTCGACATGGCCACCACTGCAGTTGCTGTGGGAAAGGTAAAGTTATAAATAAAATTGACAGAAATTCTTTTCTAATGCCAAATAATTACTTTTGAAGAATAGAATTTGCGCTAATCGGAAGAAAATGTGTGAAATATTTATGAAAATTTTCCAGATTGAAATGCAACTTCGTAAGGGCGAGCCCATACCCCACGGCTGGGCACAAGGACCTGATGGCAAGGAGACTACAGACGCTCAAGTGGTAAGTTCTACCACTAATAATTTAAAACTTTTAACTAATATTGTCGACTTCTGTGGAGAAATCACAATAAAAACTGTACCTATATTCTCTTAAACTCATAAGAGCCATAACTTAATTTTTTGACAATTTTTCCAGGCGTTCGATACGAAGTGCCTAATGCCGTTGGGTGGTAATGAGACCACATCTGGCTACAAAGGATACGGGCTAGCAGCGATGGTGGAGCTTTTCTGTGGAATATTGTCAGGTCAGCCATTTTTTGTTATTACCACCTGATGACAATCCATCCATGGATACACTCAACACCAACCTTAGTGAATTGCCGACCTATGATTGTCAGTCTCTCAGTCACATACCGAAACATAACTACTACGTGCTCCAATTTCATAATTTTTAAAACCAAAATCACATATTTATATGCATGAAACAGGTGCTAACTACGGACACCACGTACGGTCATGGTCCCACGCGGGCGACGGTGGACCAGCCAACCTGGGGCACTGCTTCGTGGCTGTCGACCCTGAACGGTTCGCGCCTGGTTTCGGAGACCGCCTCGCTGACTGCATACAACATTGGCGACAGTTGGAACCAGTGAGTAATGCAATACAAACAGGTTTTTAGATTAACTAAAATCGCGGGTTACTCACGTGAATATACAGTAACCCGCGATTTTTAGTTAATTTAGTACGTCTCACGATAGCTATTATAAAAGTTTTTTGGATGTTGTGGTTCTTAGGTTTTAAGAACAAAGTTAGTACAAAACTAGGAGTCATGCATGACATACCTAACCAATTAAAAAACAAGAATATTGATTTATTCATAAGCATCCTTTTTTTTCTAGACGGATCCTAATCTGGCCGTGATGGCTCCAGGAGACAAAGAGAAGAAAGCGGCGGCAGAAGCAGAAGCCAGCGGCACAGTGTCATATGTTCAACAACAGATCGAGTCTAGTGCAGCGCTTGCGGAAAAACTCAAAGTGAAACCAATGCAAGTTGAAGTTGATCTTCAATAGTAGGTCTGTGTGAGATGAGGGCAATTTTATGCTCACCAAGTAGCAGCAAGGGGACCTCGTGCTGAACGAGATCTGGTTGTCCAATCACTATCTATAATATCGTCTGTCAAAAATGTAATGTCCAATGGGTTGTCCGTAGCCTATACTTGGACAAACAGACTTCATGCACATATGCGCCCCTTGTGAGCAAAAGAACAGTTGCTCTCATTTATAACTACCTACGTTTCTGTGATAACTGACTGAAGAATGATGATGTGAAGATAATGATGCAATGCATATGTATATGTAAACTACTGTATGCTAATATTTTGTATAAATTGTTATTACGTAATCATCAGAATAAAACAAAAAAATAATCTTATCTTTATTTTATCCCAGATGTAAATACGTAACCTCATTATTATTAACAACCTATTCTCGTCCATTGCTGGACATAGGCACACCGGCGCCACTGAGCTCGATCTTCAGCTCTCCTCATCCAACCACTGCCAGCCACCTTGCGGATATCGTCACTCCACCTAGCCGAAGAGCACTGGAGACACTACGTTTGCCTAGACGCGGTCTCCACTCCAGAACACGTCTACCCCAGCGGTCATCGATTCTTCGACAAATGTGACCCGCCCACTGCCATTTCAGTTTGCTAATCCTTTGGACTTCATCGGTAACTTTAGTTCTCTGTCGGATCACCTTGTTACGGATCCTATCCTTCAGAGAGACTCCGAGCATAGCCCTCTCCATAGCTCGCTGCGTAGGAAACCTAAAATATACGAAATGTTTGTTTGAAAATTACAGTGAGGACAAAGTAAATAAAATAAATATTAAAACGACCGCTTCACCATGTATCCTGGGGTAGATCGAAATTGTATACAAAGCCGATGCTATCTCCAACATTCTCAATTTGAATCCAAGAATGCTGACCACGTAGGCAGGAATCATGGTCACAGACAATGATGGACCACTACTTACGTATTTATTTTTTAAATGTTTCCATTTCTATTCGATGTTCTCCTGTGTCGTTGGTACGTTTAGAAATACAATGTCACTACGTTACACATCACATACCTACATTGCCACAATGCAGCAGTGCTGCTGCGGCCTGCGGCATAATGTGTAAACAGCCTATAACCTAGACACCCGAAACATCAATTTATGGGTCACTCACAAAGAGACTGCCTATGAAAAATTCTGTTTATATACAGCTAAGTTGCTCGTCATCAATAAGTAAATATTATTCTCAAATAATATAAAACTTCTTTCATTTATAATTATATCAATCCTAATATTACTTAATTAGTTGAAACTATTAAGTAATTAATTAATTCAAATCATTAAAATTGTTCTGGAATGGGAACAACACGGCAACACCTTAACACAAATACTTTTAGTGGTAATTGCATCTTTGAATTATCATCATTAGGGCATTCAGAACGATCATAGTTAAAATATTGGTCATACACCTCCAAGTCGCCAACCTAAAATTACAGATTTCAATTTTTTTAAGAGTAGGTACAATTCGTAAAGCATTGTTGATGACAGCCGATGACATTCAACGTACATACAAGTCCTTGTGAAACTTAGAACTAATGTCCGAATCCGTACCCTGCGGTAGCCAACATTCAGAAAAACGTCAAGGGAACCAACATTATACAACAAAACGAACTTAGTTGCTTATGGCTACTTTTGGGTCACCTCAGAATATGTTTTTGAAAGAGTAAATGTACATTTTATCGATTCTAAACAGCTACTTGGAAAATAGAACAGCACAAGAAATGGATAGCTGGCATCAAAAGAAAAAAGTAAGTAACAACTTTATTTAAATCTAGTATTTGATAAAATGCTTATAGATTATCTTATTGTCTTATAGCTTCTCTTGTTGTACCTTTAGGCTTATCATTCTGTCTCCTGCAATAATTCACCAAGGGGAGGGGAAACTATCGTTTTTTTTTTCATCTCGTTTTATAATAATATCTTCTGATTTACTTCGTTGCGGGAATCAAGGCAGTTATTCATGACCCCGGGGGCACGCCGAACTTCAGTGTTCCGATGTTTTCATGGTTGTATCAGATAACAGATATATTTATGATAGTATCGAACGAAGCGTTTCGCGTCAAGCTTCCTCATGCGAACCGCTAAGGAATGGAATTCCTTGCCAGAGGCTGTGTTCCCCGTCAAATATGACTTGGGTGTCTTCAAGTCCCGAGTGAACAGGTTGCTCATAGGTAGGCGTGCTCCATCGTCGGCCACATCATCGCTTACCATCAGGCGAGATGGTGGTCAAACGTCGACCTATAAACTATAAAAAAAACAGTAGTCAAAGATGGCTTACAGAAGTTGCAGCGATATTGGGTAGTTGTGGCGGGCTTGTCCCAATAAAATAATAATAATAATGCTTATAGAAAATATTGTTTAGTGTTGATGGATGGCCATGGTACCCAAAACCAAGTGGTTTAATAGGCAGTGATCGTTTTATTTGTGGCAAGAAATCAGACATGTACCAACGATATTTCCTTTAGTCTACCCTTAAAAAACATTGAATGAATCTGTATCTAAATCACAGTACAGATGTTTTATAGAACGGGAAAGAAAACTGAAGTATCCAACATCGTACTGATCAACCATCTACTTCAATCAATTCGCTCATCAGAAACGTGTCATGAAGTAGATATGACTTCAATAAGTTATCAAGAATATCAAGTTGGTAAATTTTTAAAATTCAATAATGCAGGCAATACATTTACATACATTTACCTCTGAGTTTGTTACGGCATTTCTTCCCGGAGTAGTCAGTTAGGAAATGTCGACCTCATCGTTCGCTTGATAAAATTGAAAAAGTGCTGCCTTGTATCCTATTTGCAGAAATGAATTCACTTGTTTCACATGTAATAGATATATTTATAACTAAATTTTGATTCTGAAATCAAACAGAAATAGACCTCACCTATTTATATAAAGAACTGAAAGACGTATGTAGAACCTCTCAAAAATAATAATAATAATATGGTAACTTCAACAGAAACTGATTTCACTGGATTTTCATCAATCCGTAATAATGAGCAACTTATAGATCTTGCTGATGTAACATTCACCAATTTTCGATTATTATTAAACACGTTAGCAACCACTGATAATAATACAGTATTTCTAAAGAAAATAGACTTATCATTTTTTTAACAAACATAAAAATTGGTGTGACTTTTTTGGCTCTAAGCGTTTTGTTTGGTGTTCACAGAACTAGAATTTCAAGGATTTTCTATACAAATTTTACAAATTTAACTAAATCAACAGCTAACTTTGTTTTTTGGATATATAAAGATACTATACAAGCCACAATGTGAGACTGTTTCCAATAAATATAAAAACGTCAGAGCCAACAAAGTTGTAGACGCTAGGTGGCGCTGAACTCGTCCTCAGAGCCAATAACGTTTTGGTAAACTATAACTCGTTTCTTTAAAATATTATCAGTGCAAATTACTCTACACCTTTTTAATGTAACATTTATGTCTTCTGGATCTGGTCAAGTTCCTTTGAAAATTAGCAGTTGGCATTGTCTTTTGCGGTATCAAGGAAAAAACGGTCAACTGAAAATCAGTAGATTTTCTTTAATTTTAATCATATCAGTCCAGTCAGTTTATCCCTTTATATGTGTATTATAAGAAATTATAAAATTATCTGCATTCATAGTATTTTTAAATTATTAGCTACTAAAGCTAGTAATTTGAATATAAAGTTGGTATAAACACAGCGTTTTATGAAACAGTTTTGTAACTTGCTATGTTTTAGCAGTGAAATATATAAATAAACGTGAAATAAAATCATATAAATGGACCTAGTGTTTCATTGTTCCTAGTCTTCAAAATAAATATGTTTATTTTAAAATCCTATTTATAGAGGTAGTATATGAATATGTATTTTTAAGTCTAACATTTTATCGATATCGATAATTTCTATTCGTGATCAGCATCGGCCACCCTATGTCTATGACAGTTCATTAGAATTTTAATGTTGGTAGCTTTGTTTTTTTTACGAGGTTGCCTAAAATTGGTTACGAAATCGTCAGAAATTAAAGTTCTAAGTTCAGCTTCTAATGTGACATGCTTCTTACATGTTCTGTGCGACGTACTTTAATATGGTGTTGCTATACTTTATGTGACTAAATAAACAGACTGTAGAAGTAGATAGAATACATTGAGTCGACAAATGGAATCAGTTAATTATGCCCGATACTTTGCGAACAATTCGACTTGTTGTATTTTGGTAGCAAAATATCCATTGACTCGAATAGACAATGACAAAACATTAAAAACCAGAAAATATGGTGGATAAACCAGTTAACATCGAAACCAGTGTTGCCAACTCAATGGATTGCCATTTGCCGGCGGGAAAATATTAGTTTTAGTGGCCAGTGAAAGTGAATTTTTCGTGGATTAGATTGTTAATTTGCTAACCATTAACACAACGCATAATAAAGTTGTAATAATCACATAATACCTACTTTACTTTTAATCTTTATACATTATTTATAATCTAAGCTGCTTCAGTACCTAATTACATAAAATAGGGTAGATGCCTAATTTTTATTTTAATGTCCGTCTGGTAGATTATTTTATATCATTAGACACGTATTTTTTATTTTCTTACAGAAACGAATAGTTTCGACAATATATTGATTTGAAATGTTGCGTGACGTCACCTCTATGTACATTTTATACGTAAAAATGACGTTTTAGCCCCCTCTCCTAAACTTTGATACGTTTTATCTAAGTATTGTTTTATTATACGAAAAAATAAAAATATACGTGTCTAATATTTTTTCATTACCTAACTTACGGACTAATTATATTTTTAATTTTCAGACATTTAATAAATGTCATCATCCTAATTGACGCTAAAGAAATTTATTTCTTACATAAATAGAACAAGTGGATGAGTTAATTAATATACAAGTACTTAGACAGGTAATTAATTATTGATAATAATTTACAGTGTCGTTTTATTTCTAA